ACATGATGGAGTGTTATCCTAACCTGGCATTATTTTGAATCAATCCCTGGGTCTGTTGTTGTTATTGTTATACTGAGAAAGGATCCACTTGTGGGATTACACTGGGTCTGAGAAAGGATCCACTTGTGGAATTACACTGGGTCTGAGAAAGGATCCACTTGTGAGATTACACTGGGTCTGTTGTTGTTGTTGTTGTTGTTGTTGTTGTTGTTGTTGTTGTTGTTTTTATACTGAGAAAGGATCCAACATTGTTGGTGAAGAGTCGATTCGGAAAATTTCAAGGACACGCCAAACAAGAGTAACTAATGCTACTTCGCAGGGTCACCTCATGCCGTAGCGAAGTTCATTGCAATGTTATTCTTCTGCACTTAATATAATTAATTTATCGTTTGACGTTACATTTTTTTTCCTATGTAAGTGAATTAAATTTCAAAGTTCTTACTGGAATTAAAGTTTAATTGTTACATGCTGAGGTTTTTGTGAAGAAAATTTCTTTACCTCTGCTTGCTTTTACTAATGTGATGTTTCAACCACAATTACATATGCTTTTCTTTTTATCGAATGTCCCCGAAAGAACAGTTATATATGCTTTTCTAACTATTAAGTTTTCCTCCTATCTATTCATGCCACATGAGGCATTTTTCAAAAGAGAAAAAAACTATGTTTTGGTTGAAAGCTATGTCATCTTCTTGATATAGTTATGGAAGCATTAGTGATATTGGATTTTGCACTCCATTTCAAAAGATAGGAGCTACAACAATCATTTTTCCTCTTATAGGTTTGCTTAGAAAATTAGAGGTTCAATATTCTGACATATATATATATATATATATATATATATANAGCATTAGTGATATTGGATTTTGCACTCCATTTCAAAAGATAGGAGCTACAACAATCATTTTTCCTCTTATAGGTTTGCTTAGAAAATTAGAGGTTCAATATTCTGACATATATATATATATATATATATATATATATAATGTGTGGGTGCAGAATTTGATTTTTATTTAGTTCGTGTTGCATGATGGTCCGATAGTTGAAGACAAAGGTGAGTAGACGAGGTATTCTAAGTTGCATGTCATTCTTATTTTTGGCCTTGGTTTTAAATTCTTGTCAATTCTTTCCACTCTCTTTATGCTAGACTCAATGCGAAGGAAATTATTCAAGCATTTTAGACTACTTCTTCTCATTAAAAGACCAATGAATTAAGTTATAACCTTGAAATTTGTCTCTGTGTTATGGAGTTTATGATGAATTGTGCTCTTAATAGAAGCGGTTTACCGATTTAAGAATGAATCAGACTTCGAACTCAACTCTGTGTTTGGCAGTTTGGAAACAAGTCCCGTTCTTGCTTAATAGTTGTGCCCGTCAAATATTTTGTGCTGTATGAATTATTCAAATTTGACATTTTCTTGCCACCAGGTTGACAACCATTTAATTGACTTACTTTTGACAGACAACTTAGTTATGGCCTCCTGCTGTTCGGTTAGCAATTAATCCATCTGACATTTGACCTGCCTTTGTACACATTGTTAGAACTTAGCAAAAGAAACAAAGTGCTTGTTAATTTTCTTTTCGTCCAAGCTTTTTATTTTATTTTATTTGTGATAATCGTGGGATTTTCCCCAGGAAGTGCATGCAGAAGATATGGTAGTATCCAAGGTGTCACACTGGCTTTCAACGGAGGTCAAAGAAATGTAAGTAATTTTTTTTTTCCTTTAGGAGCTTTATATGACTCATCTAAAAGCTTCTTTTATTGATAAGCTGGGCTTGAATTGAGTTTCCAGATTTAACAACTATTCCTCAGTGGTTTGTTTACCTTTGTGCTACCAGCGGGCCAAACATATGGTGATACCTTACATGTCAATGTTAATTAGTACCTCTGTTGAAATGCACAGGGACACAGGATATAGTAGTAGGGTACATTTTTTCTCTTTATTTTTCGTCTTTTTCCTTCACTTACATATATTTATAGGTTCATCTCTTTCTATTTTCAGTTGTGACAAAGGTGGACAGCTCTATCTGCTTTGATATGTGATGCAGACACAGGGAGCAAGAAAACAGCGTGAAGCAGTGAAAAGAGCCCCTCGAAAGCAGTTGCAACCAATTTTTAAAGTTCATGAACCAATGATTAATTCAATCTTAAATTTAGAGATTGTGTTTGTTTTGTTTGCTCGCATCATGAAAATTAAGACACTTATTCCTTTTTTATCTGTGTCTAGGCTCTTGATACTCTGGGATGTAGCAAAGGGAGGATAAACAAAAGAGTACTTCCTGCTGTTGATAGAATATGGGATAGTGGCGGTCGTCTGCTAATTTGGTAGCCCATGATGACGTTACTTACTATATACATCTACTATCCTGTTAAGATTCAAAAGGTACTTTCATTTTTATTGCTAAATAAATGAATCTAATAAGTTGTGTAAACGATTCAAGTAAGAAACTACAATTGCTGTCGTTTCTGTCATTTGCAGGTCCTTTGCCAAAAAGAACCAGATATCGGAGATGGTGTAGTACTCACGAAGTGGAATTGGATAGTAAAATCTATCTAGAAAAGAATAGAGAAACTTGTCGCAACGTTGTGACGTCGAGCTCAAACTTCTTGTATGTTCCAATTGCTTCCCTGTTTTATCTTTTAAGATACTAATATGTATAATATTATTGGGGCAGTGTTGTAATCACAAATCATATAATTTGTGTGTATGTTGGATTTTCCTTGTAAGTTTTGCTTCTCCATGGTTGAACATGTAGTGCATAAAATAAAAGGTTTCTTCTACCCGCACAACCTTGATTATCAAGGTCGTGCATACTCCCATGCATCCAATTAAACTATCGGGGTGTTTGCATAGGGCAGTTTGAAGATACACTTAAATTGCAAATATATTTGTTGGTCATGTGGACAAATCATTACTTGAGGGTAGAATAGTTTTTACTGCATCATTTGTATGGGTCAATTAATTTTGCTAAAAAACCGATCGAAGGAAAGGCCTGGCAGTTGAATGTAGAAGATCATCTCTTACAATACCAGGTTGTATTTAAGAAGATAGCATCTTTATAACATGGACAAGCCACGACCACGTTCAACTAATAGTGCAGAAAACATAGCAGACCTAGATAGTAAGGTAACGTCACCTCATCACTTTCTATTATTTTCAAACTTTCATGGTCCATCGTTCTTCACATATATTGATGACTCCATAATTATACCAATACACGGATATAGCCATACGAATTGACTCTGAACCAGATTAACTTTCTTCCATTTGTTAACCTTTAATCAACACACATCAACACCCAACGGCAAACATAAAAATAAAAAACTACCTCTATTGTTATCCTATTCTCTACGTCAAAGAACAAACTTCATAAATTCCTTTACACAAAGTGCTTTGATGGAACTATAATTTGACGATGTGAACATTTGAAATGACAGCACAACCAGTAAAAATAATGTGCTATATGCAGATTTTACCATCTTCACCTGCTATTATCTCAAATTACTTCGGTGGGAATTCGATGCATATTTCAAGACTGCATCACTTCATAAACCAAATTCTACTGATATAATGTGGTAAGAAGAAATACGAAAAGATGAAGCCAGGAGTAGTTCATATCAATCCCATCTCTTTCTCTGTGGACTTGGCCTTATGTGACTTTAGCATCCCTAAGTCTATTTTGTGTATTATGGTCTATTGCAAGGTATGAGACTTGAGCCCCACATCGGTATTTCAATGAGCTGATGTGAGATTTATATAGCCTTGGACTCTCCCACCTTAATAGCTAGCTTTTGGGGTGTGGTTCTCCCTGTGTTGTATCAATGGTATTAGGTTCTCCAGGGGTTGTATCAATGGTATCAGAGCCACTCACCGCCCTCTGTGCCCACCGTGCCATAGATGGTGACGCCGATATTGCAATGTTCGTCCGGGGCTAGAAAAGTTCAGTGCACAGCCGTCGGGGACGAAAGATGCGGAGCGTGGTGGTCTGTATTATGGCCCATTGCAAGGTATGAGACTTGAGTCCCACATCGGTATTACAATGAGCAATGTGAGATTTATATAGCCTTGTCTCTCCCCACCTTAATAGCTAGCTTTTGGGGCGTGGTTCTCCCCGATTATATCATTGTGTCACTAAATGGTGGAAAGAAAGAACACAAATTGCAGAGACAAAATTTAGTTGTGGTAGGTACTTACTTTTTACCGGTGTATGACAACTACATTAGTTGTCCAATGTCCACTACCAGAAGAAAGTTTCTATCAAAGATTGACTACACCGACAATGAAAGAAAAAAAATCTAACAAAGAAGTTAATGGCACGAAGTAAGTCCCAGTAACTGTGAACTGGTCTTAACTACTTTCTATTTTAATAACACAGAGATATGTGAATGAGAAGCTCATCTTAAACAAACCAATAATTCTATTTAGCTTTATCCCAGGCAAGTATTTTTGGCTACGAACTTAAGCACTTAGTCCCAAATAAGTAACACCAAATAAGAAGGCATATATGACCAAAAAAATAAAATAAAATTAAAAATAAGAAGGCATATCATCAAACATCATAGGTGCATAGTCCACTTAAAATATCAGCAAGTAAACAATGAAAGAGATTATATAGGTGGAGGAAAACATATTATAAAAAAAAAAGAAAGAAAGTGTGGCGCAAATCAAGAGACCCAATTTTCACCTCAGATTTTTGTACGATAATTTAATTTTGAACTAATGCGTTGATACCTGTTTTCTTAAAGTTGTGTACCATTTAAGAATAGCCAGACTGGATTCTAAGAATTTAAAAGTAAACTCTTAGTCCCAACTCAACCAAAACCCTCTAGAATTTCCTAGTTCTGTTAAAATTCATATTTGTTCAAACCAAGTAGATAAGACAACATGAATTAATTACCATGTGATTGGAGTGCTTAATTTTTTGGTCTCTATTTTGTCGATGTTTACTGAAAAATCGTTGTTTAGATTGTTAATGAACAACTAGTAGTGGTACCCGCGCGATGCGCGATCAATATTAAAAAATATTAAGTAAATTAAATTGTGATCGGACTTATTTGAACATATTAGATCGTATTGCTTTAAAAAATTTCAATTGTCATCTTATTTGTCAATATGATATATCCAATAATAAAATCGCTAGTAAATTAAAGGGACTTATATAGTCATTGAATAACTTTTTTCTTTTATATTTTTCTTTATTCTATTATCCAATGTTTAGTATTTTTACATTGTTAATAGAAATTTATTAGCATATTACTTTGTTTAATATTTTTGTCTGCTCGCTTTCTTTTTGTAATATAAGAG